ACCCGACAAAATACGTTAACAACAAAACTTGAGGACAAAAAACAAAAGACAGGGTATATCAGGGGAGCGTCTGACGTCTGACTTAATAGTAGAATGGGGCTGAATAGTGAAAACTGTGGTTTGAATAAATATTCCTAAAGTAATGAACATAGAGATGTTCTCGCTCGGACACACACTTCATTAACTAGTATATTATAAGAGCATAAACCTGAAGCACGGGGAAGCACTCTACTGTCTCCACATGGCACTAAAGACAAACTCTGTAAAAAAAAATTGAGAATGGAAATGGGGAATATGTCAAAGAGACAACAACCCGACCAAAGAGCAGACAACAGCCAAAGGCCACCAATGGGTCTTCAGCGCAGCGAGAAAATCCTGCACCCGGAGATGGTCCTCGGCTGGCCCCTAAATAAAAGTGTGTACTAGTTCAGTGAAAATGGACGTCACACTAAACTCCAAAACATATAAAAGAACTAAAATTAAAAAACATACAAGACTAACAAAGGCCAGATGCTCCTGACTTGGGACAGGCGCAAAAATGCGGCGGGGTTAAACATGTTTTGTGAGATCTCAACCCTCCCCATATACCTCTAGCCAATGTAGAATAAAGAAACACATAGCAATATGCACAGTAAAACTCAGTTTAAAAAAGTCCGTGTCCGATGTCAGAATAGGTAACAAAAGAAACTTTTACTTAGCATTACAAGTCCATTTTTTGTCTTACAATTCTGTTTTTAGTCCTTAATTTGTCCTTTTTTTATAACTACATCCTGTTATATCTTGATGTACTTTTTTGTCTTTAAAGTGCAACTTAGTAGTTTTAGCCCGTTGGCTGCCAAAACCTCATGCTATACTCTTTATTTTACTCATAATACTCACTTCTTTTTACGCTGTGATTTGATTTACCAATATAGTTATGTATTGATAAATGATATATTCTACGTTTCTGTATGTAATTTAACGATTACGATTCGTTTTTGTAATTGTTTTCCATTTTGAAATGTTTTTTTCGTTTTTTAACAACTCTTCTGGTTTTGCACTTACATGCCACTATAGGTTTCCGCTAATCACCGGGTTCGGGTTATACAGGTTTTATTAAATTTTGAAATGAATAACAGATGTTCAATAGTTATCAAAGGTACCAGGCTTATACTTTGATAAGCCTGTTCAAGCTTTCCTACAGACCAAAATAAGATTGTTATTTTTGAAAACATGTTTAAAGCACAAATGACATTGATAATTCGGGGCTTACTACATGATTGTTAATACCATTTAACAAATATACTTTGTGTTGTTCTCAACTGAGTCGACAGAGTATTAGATACACAATCTGAATATTAAAAAAAAAAATACATTTAGTAGGTACACCTAAAGCCAGGGGGTTCCATTCATCTGGGTCGGACATCAGTTAACTTGGAACATTCATTTATTTTGATACCAGTTGCCCTTTAAAAGCTCAAAAAGAATATAGAACGCATTAGGAATCGAGCATTTTAAGAGTCTAAACACCTTCTTTTGAACAACTTGTTTTGTCATAAGATGTTGATGATTTTGTATTTATTAAGAAATTCTACAGAAGAAGGTTGGTAAAGGTTGTTCTCATATAAGCAATCTAATGTTTACACAATTGATCCCATGTGGTTCTGGTAATACGATCGTAGTCTATCAACTGGAAGATATATACTCCGTATGCAGGCGATGCTGGAATGTTGCTGCATAGAAATGGAAAGTTCACAATTGGGAAGCTGAAATCATCTCTTTTGTCGTAAAGTTTTGTTTTCAAACGACCCTCATTGTCAATCTCTTCATTTAATTATGAACTGTATTGTTTAGTCTATTTTTTGTGCAATGTTATGTAGACTGTTTGTCTTTTCGCCGTTTTAAAACAACTCACACATCGCTATTTACTACACCTTTTTTGTTGGCGTCTTTGTTAAATTAATTTGTATGCTTGTTTGAATAGTTTAGTTTAATTGTGTCACATGTGTCTGTGATGTATATTTACACAGTTTTGACTGCTGGATCCCAATTATTATCAAATTAACCTATTATGTCTGTTTGGGTTGCTTACCCAAAAATTGTGAGTATAATGGAACTATAAACTATAAACAACTGTCATACAAGTGGGAGGTTTAGCTAGGTATAAAACCAGGTTTAACCCACCATTTTGTTAGGAAAATGCCTATACCAAGTCGGGAATATGGCAGTTGTTTTACACTTGTTCCGTTGATTGATAGCGTTTGATTTTGTCAGTTTTTTTGTTATACTTTTTCACAACAACAGTAACTGTAAAGATTGTACCTATAGTTCAAATCTGAACCCATTTAAGTGAGAATAAAGCAATTTTATATGCATTACCACATCTTCATTTAACAATAGTACCCATTTGTTTCGAGCCTGCGACTTCTGTTGCAGAAAGCTCGACATAGAGATAGTAATCAGGCGGCGGCGGAGGCGGCGGCGTTAACTAACTACTTAAAAGCTTAATATTTTAGAAAGTTGAAGACCTGGCTACTTAATACTTTGTATATAGGTGCGTCATGTTATGACGTTTCCGTCTGCCATATATCCATGTCCTTGACCTCATTTTCATGGTTCAGTGACTACTATAAAAAAAAGGTTAAGATTTTTTGTAATGTTAATTTCTCTCTTGAGTATGAGTAATATGATAACTAAATTTAGTATGTGCGTACCTTGCAAGGTCCTCATGCCTGTCAGACAGTTTTCATCTGACCTCGACCTCATTTCATGGATCAGTGAACAAGGTTAAGTTTTTGTGGTCAAGTCCATATATCAGATATTATAAGCAATAGGTCTACTATATTTAGTGTATGAAATGATTGTAAGGTGTACATGACAAACTGATTGCAGATGTCATCTGACCTTGACCTCATTTTTATGGTTCAGTGGTTAAAGTAAAGTTTTTGTGTTTTGGTATTTTTTTCTAATACTATAGGCAATAGGTCAACAATATTTGGTGTATAGAAATATTTTACGATGTACATGTCAGTCTGGCAGGTTTTTTTTACCTTGACCTCATTTTCACGGTTCATTGCTCAGTGTTAAGTTTTTGTGTTTAAGTCTGTTTTTGATAAACTATAAACAATAGGTCAACCATATTTGGTGTATGGAATGATTGTAAGGTGTACATGTCCAACTGGCAGGTGTCATCCTACCTTGACCTCATTGTCATGGTTCAGTGGTTAAAGTTAAGTTTTTGTGGGGTTTTTTTCTAATACTATATGCAATAGGTCAACTATACTTGGTGTATGGAAATATTTTACGATGAACATGTCAGTCTGGCAGGTTTTATTTGACCTTGATCTCTTTTTCACGGTTCATTGCTAATTTGTTAAGTTTTTATGTGTTGGTCTGTTTTTCATAAACTATAAGCAATAGGTCAACTATAGTTCATGTATAGAATGATTGTTATGTGTCTGTCTGGCAGGTATCATCTGACCTTGACCTCATTTTCATGGTTCATTGGCCAATGATAAATTTTCCTGGTTAAGTTTGTTTCTTAGAAACTATAAGCAATAGGTCAACTATATTTTGTGTATGGAATGATTGTAAGGTGTACATGTATTTTCGCTTTGGTTTATCTTACCTTGGCCTCATTTTCTCGGATCATGTTAAGTTTATGTGATACTTGTAGTAAAGCTTTATATTTAGGACTATCAACATAAAATCAATGATCAGTAAAGCAGGCGAGACATTTCAGCATGTGCACTGTTGTTGTTGAAGGGCAGACAAAATTTTAAAGGAGACACACAAAGGATGACCACGGCCAACTTCGGCTCCAATTGACCAAATGGTTTTATATGAGAAGATTTTCCATAGATATTATCTATAAAAAAAAAAGAATGCTAATTTGCATTTTCGGCAAAAACGACAGTTTTAGGAAGAACCTGTATTATAGATTGAACAGTTCTATATATAATTAAAGAACCGTTGTGAGCACCCTCGCATACCAACAAGCTTTTCTAAGTTCAAGAGGCATAACTTCCTGTCGATATGTACATCTACATATCATGCCCTAATTATCTACAAAGTTTCATGGAATTCTGGTGTGTGGTTTCAGAGAAGTTGCGATGACAAGAAAAGGACTGACGGACGGACAGACGGACGGACAGACAGACTGACGGACGGACATGTCACACACATTATACCCTACGGAAATTTGTTCCGTGGAGTATAATTAAAGCATTTGTTTTGGCCAATTATAGACATGCCTATGTATTTTACATCTATATTCTATTTGTAACAACAGCCGCAATTTTGGTTGAAAGACATCGTACAATTACTACTTTGAACGAGGACACTGTTAGAATAATTCAAGCCAATTTGGTAACAACTGGCCCATCAGTTTCAGTGGAGAAGATAAGCCTTTTTTGCATATTCGATAAAATTGCCAAAGGGAGGCGAAAGATACCAAAGGGACATTGGTTAAAAAAAGAGAAAAGGACAAACAGACAAACAACAGTACACAAAACACAACATAGAAAACTTAAGACTGAGCAATACGAACCCCAACAAAAACTGGGGGTGATCTCAGTTGCTCCGGAAGGGAAAGCAGATCCTGCAAAAAGTATATGTTTGTCTATGCAGTTAAAACATCTCGACTTACAGGTTACTTCAGTAATACAGACTTCGCACTGAAAGTGAGATCTTTTCTGTCATTTAAACTATTCAGAAAGGTTAAGGATTAACTAATAGGTACCTTCAAGAAAATTTATGACCGAAATTATAAATGTGTTGATAGAAAGATAGTTTCGACATAATTTGTCTGTAATAGTTTTGTCTTTCCTAAATGTAACAACATAAACATCATCAATGGTGTCAATAATGCCATAGGAGACGCCAACTCTCCCTAAACATCTGGTTACTTTAGTCCCGGTTTCGTGTTTCTTAATTTTATCTGTTTACTGTGTTTGTGTGTCAGAATGACATGATTGTGAGTCATTGTCTAATCCATGGCTTATCTTGTTATTTGTCTTACCTCTATTTAAAGAAATAATTTATCTTTTAAATTTCATTACATGCATGGTATTGATTTATATATGTACAAAAGTCAACAACTGAATAAAACTATGTTAACCATAATAAGATACGATACGAAAGAACTCATTGAAACAACGTACGCATTTTTTTTTCAAAAGTACATTTAAATGTCGGAAACAAACAGAATGTTTTCAATGTAACATTCCACGACCATGTATCTTTTGCATATACATTATAACATGTGCACGAGTTTCGCATTGATGTTTCAAGATTTCTTTTAATTCCTTCATGAGATTAATTTGTTCATAAGGTTTGATGATGAAAATGTCTTCACGTCTGGGAATGAAATAAACTGGAAACGTTAGTTTTTTGTTAAAAGACTGCAAACATGATAAGATGTCGCCAACTAAATCAACTATAGCTGAATGATAATTTCCGGTTGCTTCTGGATTGCCTTTCTTTTTGTAATTTTCGAACACATAGAAGAGACAATTTTTGAACATATAGCTTGTTATCAATTTGTTTTTTATGCAGGCCTGAATATACTTATCGTCCGAACTATGGATATTTGTAAGCCACAGATAAAGTAGCTTACAAAGACGATAACCTTCAAGACAATATGGCGGTAAAACATTTTTTAACAAGTCGATCTCTGCCGGTGAACAAGAAATTCTCAAATGTGTTTCCGACTGTACCATGACTGTTGTTTGAAACAGCAATAAGCATCCTTGTCCTTTAATACTTGCATTCAGCAAATCACAACAACCGCCATTTGAAGGCCACCATTCCATTTTTCTAATAGCTGGCACGAGGTCAATACTTATAATTTCATCTTTGTAAGAGCATCCAAACCAACGTATTTCCAATGTTATTACCGGTTTGTCACATTCCTTAGAATTTTTTAACTTCCCAAAAATAATGTCTTTTGATTTCCAAATCTTCTCATTGAAAACAATTGTTTTCACCGCTCTAGAAAATGCCAATCGAACTTCTGATATTTTACACAAACCGTCTTCCCCAAAAAATATTGTAAATGGCTGAGGAATGTCTTTATTGGCCATGTTAGCATTTAGTTCAACAAATTCTTTTTCCATCTTCAAATCCTTAACGCTACATAGTTTCTGTATCTCATCCAAGCAAAATATAAAATCGAATTCATTTGGATCTCCTACTTTTGTTCCCTCTTCTGAGCTTCCTGATCTTTGAAGAGTACATTTTAATCTTGCGTCTTCTTCACCAATAGCAATGCACAGTTCTTCAGCAAACTTTATAACAGTTTGTTTGATATATTCACTTTCTTCGTGGTCCCATGGGGCCCCTATTCCTCTCTTTTGTAAAAGTGAATGTATAGATTCTATATTGACATTTGGAATTCCCTTGATTTCAGACTGTAACCGAAATCTTGAAACTTCATTTGGTGCATGTCCTTTTATATCTTTACATTCCAAGTAATCCCATCCTTTTCTATCTTTACATTCCAGGTAATCCCATCCTTTTCTATCCTTACATTCCAGGTAATCACATATGTCCAATTCTTTCTGCAATATCGCCACGTAGTGAAATAGTGTTGATTGATAAACATCAGAGTGTAGAATTATTTCTTTGTCCATCGTTTCGATATAATACCGAGTAAGGTGTTTATGATTTTCCATAGATACAGCTGCAAGCAATATGGATCTTCCGAATTTATCGTTAATGTTCAAATCTGCTTCATTGTCTATGAGAAGCTGAACAGAACTTATAGCATTTGTTAAAAACAATGGCGTACGATCGAAAATATCCTTTTGGTTAACATTCGCACGAGCCTTGAGTAACATTGTCGCAATTATATTTCTCTTTTTGTTGTAATCATCCAACATTTGTTTGTCAATGGCGGATGAAACATTCTCATAAATATTGGGCAGAAATTCTTTTGACATTATTATATGAAGTGGACCTAATTTCATATTGTTCGAAGTGTTAATATCATATTCATAGTCTTCGTTTAAAAAGATTTGTAGGGCCTCTCTGTTAACACAATCCATATCTTCACACCTTAATAGCTCAAGCAAAGGTGTATTTCCTATATTATTTTTATGCTTTAAAGATCCTTTAACGAACTCCTTTCCTTTTCCTAAAAGAAGCTTGTTTATTTGCCTACCAAAGTTATCCAAATTATCAGCATCTCCCATTTGGACCAATTTATGAAGAACATTATTACCATCTTCGTCTATCAAATCTGCGTTTTTTAGACAATCATCTATTAAGAAAATCATCAAATGGTTTTTACTTTGTTAACTGTTTTACTATTTTAAAACAATTACCATATTGTCCACTACAGAGATAAATAATATCTTATTACAAAATTATCAAAAGGAAGACACAGGTGACATAATGTGACATAACATACCGTTTATCGATTACCGCATCATCCATGAAGCACTGGATACGCTGCATTTGTATTGTGACATGATTTTTGTATGTTTGTTACTATATTAGGGTCATTATAAAATTCATATGAAACGAGTTTCTTCTAAATATATTGTCGAGGAAGTTATTGAAACATGCACGGATATATAATGAACTAAGTCTTCTGTGCACGTTTTATTTTTTAGATTTATTACAAATCCATAACGTATAATCGACAACAAGTATTTATTCGGTGACAGAATCACGGGGCACGTGTCTAATACATAAGATGTTAGAGTGCGATGATTATATGTGTTGCATGCGTTCCTATTTGTTAATTTAACTTTGCCATAGCAGTTTTTAATTGATTTGGTGTATTATTATTTTTTTATTTCGGAATTGGTTATTTTTTTATATATAGTTATACTATCTATACTTCCACGAATTTAAAGGTGCCTTGGTTAAGGTCTCTGTATACTGATAAGCCGTGAATAAGAGTACGAGAAGACACTAATTCAATTGCAGTACATTTCTGCAGATTTTGGTCAAATTATGGATGTTCTTTTAAAAGATGGTCTATGTACACATGTTTTATTTAAGTATATAAAACATACTCATGGATGGATACCCCATATCCTTTGTTTTTCTATCAAATAATTTTTTGGTTATATTTGAAGGAGCATATTACTTTAATTATTATAGTCTTACATATGCAAATAAAACATAATATATTGTCTAGTCATCAACGCAGTGGTGGATTCAGGTTGGGGCGTAGAGGCAAATCCCTCCCCCACTTTGATCACCCCAAAAAATATTATATCATTTTTTTCACGATTGATATGCTTTTTTAGTATAAGATAGTCGAAAAATATAATCCGTTTTATGGAATTACGCCCGCTTTTCAAAAATCCTGGATCCGCCCCTGCAACGATTGTTGATATTCTTGGTCCATTTTACTTGAGTGAAGATATTGTTTTGTTGTTAAGAAAGGAGATTTTTTTTTTTTTTTTACACTGAATCATACAACACTAAGATACTTGGATTAATGACCTGAAGTTGATAGCAAAATAAGTGTAATACAGTGTGAACCGTAACAATTTGACAAATAGATTCAATGATCCAATATGAAATGAATGTTGGATATTGAAACATTACTCTATCTATAGTGAAAAAGAGTTATAAAAACCCTTAAGGAACGACCATTTAACTTATAGGGAGGTGGGGGTGGGGGGTTATGGTTTTTTCCTAAAAAAAATATTCTTATCCCCAATTTGATGAAAAAAATATATTGTGGTCAAGCAGATGACAAAAAAACATATTCTGAATCCAGTTTTCCCCCATACCTTATAGTGTTAAATTTTGAAAAAAATAATATGATTGGTAGCGTCGAAAAACTAAAAAAAAATGTTCGCGCGAACAAAAATATTCTGACTCAGACAAAAAAACCATACCCCACCCCCTTGAAGTTAAATGGTTGCTCCCTTAAATGATAAAAAGAAACCATCAACTTTCCTCTTGCCACTGGAAGCCAATATAGAATATCAAAAATTTGAAATGGACTACATAGTCATCATAAGAATTGAAAATTGTGCACAGAATCACTATATATATATTACAAGATTTACACTTGTCCAATGCATATTGAATTTAAATTTTGTATACCTATAATTTCATCCCATAGTGTTGTCCCATTTTCACTGTTTTCATCAGCACTCTGGTCACTGTTATTGCTTACATCACCTGTATAGCCAAATTAAAAACGCTTGTCTGTTATAACTATGAGTATTAAAAATTAACTCTTTCCTGTTATAATTACGAATACTATAAAATATATTTTCTGTAACATAGGTTTATTCTAAATCTTTATTTATTAAGCCTTCTCTAAACTTGTCCCACACCGACCAAAGGATGCCGATGGCTTTCTAATCGGCTACTACAAATGTTCAAATTAAAGCTGAATTATATCAATTTGAAATCAATGTTTAATGTTTGAACGCCCCTTTTAACAACATTCAAGTGTAATAAAATTTTAAACAGTTTTAGTTAAACATCGACATCTTGCTTGCCATTGGACTCCAACATAATATAAACACTATAACATATATTATCACCTTGCAAGAGAGATGCAGATCCCGCTTCTTTGAAATCTATTACAATAATATAACTGGAAAAGGCTACATAATCTTAGCTTAGGGTTATAATAAATAACGATTATTCTCTACAGTTTTTGCTGATAACAATTACAAACAACCATAGTTTAACAGCATTCTAGCAACTAGCAACTGCAATTCGTTAAAAAGCTACCAATTCGTATTGTTTCATGCATTTACAACAATCGCTTTCAAATAATAAGTATCAAAAAAATTTATTTTAATTTAAAACAAAAAATATCAATAAATGAAGGTTCTAAAGAATTACCAAAGTCTTCGAAACCTGCAGGAACTCCAAATTGGTCCATTTTACAGAGTATACTATCATCGTTTGTTAAAGACGCATCTATAAAAAAAATTGCTATTTTTGTAATTAATTAACAGTTAAATAGTTCCAAAAAAAAATCATATTCAAATATATATTTGGCAAACCTGGGACTATTATACTATGTTAGTATAATAGTCCCAGGGCAAACATATAATAGAAAGTATGAGTGACGAGCTTTTTTTTCAAGCTACAGGTTATGCAAATTTGTCAGATTTTGTATAGAGTATACATGGAAACCCCTATTTGTGTGATCGAAAAAAAACTAAACGATCGTATTTTCGGATTCAATTTTTACTTATTATAAAAGTTGCGTTTGATGTCAAGAGAACACAGTCTTTTTTCTATTGATAAACGATTTCCACATTCTCCCACATCCCGTCCCCTTTTCCCCGAATGTGACCTACTGAATTAGACTTATCACCGGGTGTGTACTATCATGAGGGACACGACGGGTGCCACATGTGAAGCAGGATCTGCTTACCCTTCCGCAGCAGATGAGATCACCCCCAGTTTTTGGTGGGGTTCGTGTTGCTAAGTCTTTAATTTTCTATGTTGTGTTTTGTGTGCTGTTGTTTGTCTATTGTTTGTCCATTTCTTTTCTCTTTTAGCCTTGGTGTTGTCAGTTTATTTTCGACTTATGAGTTTGAATGTCCCTTTGATATCGTTCGCCTCTCTTTTTTAAAAAGTTCAATTTAAGTTAGGATATTGTTTTTATTTAAATACAAAATGATATTTTATCGATAAACTTTTTACATTTCTTCACAATACAAATCATACAACAAACACCACATTTGAATCAGAACTTAAAGACCTGAAATTGATGACAATACAGTTAATAGATATAAGAAGATGTGGTATGGGTGCCAATGAGACAACTCTCCATCCAAGTCAAAATTTATAAAAGTAAACCATTATAGGTCACAGTACGGTCTTCAACACGGAGCCTTGGCTCACACCGAACAGTAAGCTATAAAGGGCCCCAAAAAATTACTAGTGTAAAACCATTCAAACGGGAAAACCAACGGTCTAATCTATATAAAAAACGAGAAACGAGAAACACTTATGAACCACATCAACAATCGACAACTACTGAACATCAGATTCCTGACTTAGGACAGGTGCAAACAAATGCAGCGGGTTTAAACGTTTTAATGGTACCAAACCTTCACCTTTTTCCGAAACAATAGTGTAACATCACAACATAGAAAGACACACTATAAAATATCAACTGAAATAGCTTAACTCAATCAAAGGACATATTAACACCATTGAACATACACTGAACAAATAAATTTGACCTATGACACAATGTAATTACAAAATAAATAAACTAAGGGAAGAATAATAAAAGTAACATGTTATATCGGTAAGAAATGTTAAACAATTAAAGAAAAACAATATGCTCGAACAAAAATATCAGACATTTGCAATAACTTTAAACGCAGGTAAATGAAAATAATTTTGTTGTTATGTATACGTGTACAGTACCAATAGAGAAAGGAAATATTTTTACAAAATAAATAATTTTGATGTTCATAGTACGAAGTGAAAATTTATAGTTATACCAAACACTTATCAAAGCTGGTATATAGACCCGATATAACCCTGAATGACATTAAATAACAAAAAAGCAATACAATTAGTATCAACAGGTCAAATAAACAAGAAAGTACGATTTGAGAGTACTCGCAGTTACTGACAGCTAGTTAAAAGCCAAAACAATTAATAATAAAAAATCATGTTAAGTACACTATGAAATCTTTTTGTAATTGTCAGCGTAGGTTTCAAAGGATTTAAAGCAGTAAATGTCTAATTAAAGAAATACACCATAAATGATTTTTTTAAATGTGTATACCAAAGTCATCGAAACCTCCAGTTGCTCTAAATAGGTCCAGTTTATGAAGTACATTAGCATAGTCCTCATCTGATGAATATTCAGCGTCTATTAAATAATCATCTATAAAAAAGAAACACGCAAAAAGACTATATTGAATACTTTTTGCTTAGTTAACAGTTTACCATTGTCAAACAACTATCGAGGAATTAACACATTATATTTGATAAATAGAAAAATAAAGCAATGAGTACAATTGATCAGAGGCGAATTTGTAAAGAGAGATGGAATGAAGTAAAAAGATATAACATATCGAATATAGTATCATTTAATTGTTTGATGACACCTTTTAGAATTTTTGAATTGACAACGTCTGTTGTAATAGTTACAGTTGCGTTTGTGTCAACAATACATTGTTTATTGCCTATTTACAACCGATTGGCAATATAATGTTGGTACAGTGTGAGTCATAGCTTCGACACAGATGTCAAATTTGAAATAATGAACAGGATCTGCTTACCCTTCCGCAGCACCTGAGATCACACCGGGTTTTGGTGGGGTTCGTGTTGCTCAGTCTTCAGTTTACTATGCTGTATTTGTTGTACTGTTGTTTGTCTTTTTTTGCCATGGCGTTGTCAGTTTATTTTTCGATTTATGAGTTTGAATTTCCCTTTGGTATCTTTCGCCTCTCGTTTGCTGTTTAATCATTATTTTTGACAATGTTCTAGTATAATATCAAAATTCTAAATTAATTTTGTATATGATCGACTTGTTACTTGCTACTTTAAAACTGCATAGTAGCAAACTACCAATCTCTAATCTCAACATGCAGATGATGTTTATACAACAAATTTTATGACAAAGATATTCAAACAATATTCACCATCACATAAAAATGTCAGGGATTATAGCTAATATCCTGCACAAAGTGTTTTGTTTGAAAACGTTATAAGCAACAGTTGTTTTCTAATACCATCATTTAGAACATCGAACTACAAATTGAAAAAAAAAAACGTTTCCATTCCGTATTTCCGATGAAAAGAATGAATTCAATTCTCATCTTATCATCTTTGAATGAGCATCAAACTTTTAATCCTGATGAAGGAAACATATTTATGAATATTGGGCAAATATTATATGCGCAGAGGACTTAAATCATCTTGAACGAAGTATTGATACCGTATTCGTAGTTTTTGTTTTAATCCTGATGGAGGAAACATATTTATGAATATTGGGCAAATATTATATGCGCAGAGGACTTAAATCATCTTGAACGAAGTATTGATACCGTATTCGTAGTTTTTGTTTTAAAACAATCTCAATGGCATCTTATTCACAATTATCCATATCTATATACCTTATATTATTTTCAGTTAAAAACTTATTTTTTTTAGGTAAAATTATCGAAATATTCTTTATTAAGCTGAGGACAACCCATGGTTTGCAAATGTTAGTGAGGGGCACGCCCGCCACGCCCCCGCCTGAATCCGTCCCTGCTGAGATATCAATACATACATTTGCTATGAAATTTACTAAAACAACTATGCATTAAAAAGTACTACAAGTTATCAGCTTTCAACATTTAACACTAAATTATTCATTGTTATTAGTGTATCTCGTACATCACCTGTGTTTTCTGTTCCCTTTTCTGCCATTTTCTGTTTTCTTTTGTTTCTAAGATATTAAATCTCAAGAAGCACAATAAACCTTAAAAAAATAAAGAATGCATGTTTGTTTCGTAAACATGATGCGGATACGTTGTATACTGTAGTCAAGTATTAACCTACAGTGTATTAATTTCTTAAACAAATGTGTTTATATATTTCAACATTAGTACCAAACTCAAAATATATACTTCAATAGCTCAGTTATGTCATGTTAAGGTTATGGTCTAATGAGATATAATAAGAAAGCGTATTGATGATTAGCAGGTTCAATGGGCAAAACCATATGAGTGGGCAATTGGAATTGTTACCTCAAGGCAATGCTAAACATCTTTATATTTTTAGGATCAATGGTCACCTCCGTTCTGAACAAGTTAATAAGGTATCGGTCGTTTATTATGCACTTTGATAATTAAATCAAACAGTTCATTGCTGCTATGCCCCTGTAATTGCTAGGATTTAATTTGTCACCTCCTTTGAAAATAAGAATGATGAATGATTGCTCCATTTATCAGAATATAAGTGTTTAGTATAAGATTGAATAATTTAGTGAGTGTATCAGCATGTTAGCGCTGCTACACTTCATTACTTTATAGCATATAATATCAATAATCAGCAATGTGCATTTCAATTGGAGAATTGACATGCTATTTCAAACAAGTTTCTCGGTAATATATAAAACTTATAACAACATAAACGACAACGCATACAAAAATGTCAATTTTTACGCCGATGTATGAAGCAGATTTGTCAAACGCCCGCGAAAAGTCATGAAATAGTTTTGAAGCGAATTAATACGATGAAATTCTGTATTTTATCATTTATAATATGATATGCTGCTTTTTTGGCCTTTGAACAAAATATTTAAAATATTCTTTAAATCTAGTTCAAATTAAATCCCCACATATACACAATGTAGAAATGTTTTTTGTAAGAATGTGTCCTCGGATTGCAACACACATATTAAATGTGTATTATATCTTCGTTTTACATGTTTTATGCAACCTTTTGTGATATTTCATGTGTAAATTGTTTTTTAAATATTTTGAACAATTTCTTTTTTTATATATATAATCAGGTAATTTTCTAAACTGATCAAAATGTGAAATGAATCTATCTGAACATAACATATCTTTTTTTTATACATTTTTGAATCAATTCAAGTCAACTTTTCTATACCAAAAAGTTTTAACAACTTTCTTTTTATTTTTATAAAACATATAGTTGTATCTCATGTATCTCTAACTGAACTGAAGCCATGGGGTAACATCGGAGATATGTAAAACTTACTATTGATATGTTTTATGTCATTAGCGTAACTTGAAAACGATTTTCGCTTTGAAAGTCCGGAGTAATTGTCGTTTGTTGCTGTATATCATATTTGTTTTCTGTTTATTGTTCTAGTTCTACGTCATTTGGTGGAGAGTTGTCTCATTGGCAAATATATCACATCTTCTTATTTTAATATTCAACCACAACTTATAACCGAAACTTGGTATAATGATGAAGTCCAAGATTGCACTGGGGACTGATGGTCTTTTTATGACTTTCTGGGTCCATGGGATATCGGAATGAAGTCCACATAAAAAAACATGATAACTGTCACTCACACTTTTAACAGCAAGTTCCTGTCTCGAAATCGCAATGGGTCTGTTTTCAACTAGATACATCAAACAATAATTGATTTTTCATTCATTTTACTTCACCAATGTGTATCTTTTATTGAAGTTCTTACCCCTGTAAAGTTTCATTTACATCAACCTACTTTTTCATCCGTTTACTTTCGTTTTGAACAGGATGTAGTAGTTAGTGGTATTAAGTCAGATCATCGACAGACCGGAATATGGATTACACATAATCTCTCTATGGGAACCATGAACTGGACGGAGTAAAGATATTTTCAATAATTTAGTTGGAGGGGGGGGGGGGACATTTCCTGACATCTAAATTAAAAAAGTTTATGGTAAGAGTGGAAACAATTTCCATAGTATAATTATTTGTCGATATTTGCATACACTTTATCCACAGGCACTTGTCTCTGGTAATATTTATCTTGACATATCATATAAGTTTTTTTTTAGACTTTATCACTGTGACTTTACCCTCGTGTGTTTTGTGGGATTGGTGAATTAAGTACAAGGGTCCCTGTGGGACAGTAGTAACCTAACAATTTTTTCACGAAGAACAATCGCCTGTTGGGGACCCCATTGGACGGGCTGATCAGGAATATTGAGCAACTAAATTTTGTTCCGTTTGTGTCTGTCCTTTATTGTTCAAGAGTAGCGTTTTATTGTTTTGTTTTTATAACCAAAATGTCAGCCTTGGCACCAAACTCGAGGGGCATACTGATGAATAATCGCTGTGATGAACATCGCTGACTTTGGAGTAGCTGAATCTTCATTCTATAATCTGACCAAGTTCCAGCAAACTAATGCAAACATTTAACTCCCGGGGATCCGGAGAGATTGAACGTTGGACCGGGGGGACATTTCCTGACATCTAAATTAAAAAAGTTTATGGTAAGAGTGGAAACAATTTCCATAGTATAATTATTCGTCGATATTTGCATACACTTTATCCACAGGCACTTGTCTCTGGTAATATTTATCTTGACATATCATATAAGTTTTTTTTTAGACTTTATCACTGTGACTTTACCCTCGTGTGTTTTGTGGGATTGGTGAATTAAGTACAAGGGTCCCTGTGGGACAGTAGTAACCTAACAATTTTTTCACGAAGAACAATCGCCTGTTGGGGACCCCATTGGACGGGCTGATCAGGAATATTGAGCAACTAAATTTTGTTCCGTTTGTGTCTGTCCTTTATTGTTCAAGAGTAGCGTTTTATTGTTTTGTTTTTATAACCAAAATGTCAGCCTTGGCACCAAACTCGAGGGGCATACTGATGAATAATCGCTGTGATGAACATCGCTGACTTTGGAGTAGCTGAATCTTCATTCTATAATCTGACCAAGTTCCAGCAAACTAATGCAAACATTTAACTCCCGGGGATCCGGAGAGATTGAACGTTGGACCGTCATCCAATCTAAGCTTCATCCAGTTCAGGAACGCAGAATACCGTACTTGCGGGAACCTCTGTTGTTGTTATGCTAGGCAATCCCCGGATGACAACTATCATTGGCTACCAAAGCGTTTCGTGCACCGTCTGAAAATTATCTGTATGACCTTGCGGTTATCAGACAGAGCCAGTGGGCCATCGACTAGGAATCGGGTAGCCATGCCTTTTAGATAAGACTGAAGACTATCGACGATGTCACCAACATAACGAATAAGCTATTTACAGCAAGCGTGAAAAAACAGACGTTCTCAGCTTGAGACAGGGAGGGCTCGGTTGAAAAGGGAGGCCTTGATAAATCATCTCCAGATACAAAGCGTTCTGTCGCTGAATTTCTTTGGATCAGTGAATTCAAAAGGAGTCCAAAGCCAATTCAAAGGTAGATAGATTTATCTGGGGAAACAAAAATAATAGGCGAACGTTACTATTGCGATGTACGAGAACTGGGTATTCAGAGACATGTCAACAGTGATCAGATGTTAAACGACAGCGGGTTAGCTCACGAGTTCTGACTATGACAAAATACACTGAAAAAGTCCTCATTAAATTGGAGTATGATATGTTAACTATTGCTGCCTAAACCGACTAACCCATATTATTGCTTCTCACCTAACACGAAATCCAGCAAGAGCATAGACGGCAGTCCCGACTCTTGTCCAAGCTCTAGTCACAACTCCAGTCCTAGTCACAGTCCTAATCCCGGCATTTCACAGTAAGTGATGCATTTAGTTTGGTCATGTAAATCTGTGTTGAAAATTGTAATTCGGATACCAATAGGGCATATGAGAGTGGTCATTGTGACATAGGGAGGATCTGGGGATTGCTTCTTGCCTACAAGTCGATTCTCAAGGAAATAGCTGGTAAGCCCGAGTATGACTCTGAAATTAGGAGTGATTCACCCGTCACAGTTTTCAGCTCCATACCATCTGAAAATGATCCGACTCTAGGGGAAGAGCTTGCTTTAGGTTTTGGTATATTGAGTGATGACCGTGACTAAAAAGAAAGACCAGTTGATAGTTCTTACGAAAATTGACTTGCTTATGATAATACAAATACAAACATACATATAGAACGTGAACAATTGTTCGACTAAGAACAAGAAGATCATGTGGTTAACCCTTCACAACTTTCACTCCAGAAGGAATTCATGACCCAAGTGGAGCAATACTCAAGCACTCATGTCTGGGAATCTGGTATTGCCGGCATAATCTCAAAATATTTCAGTGCCAGACTCAGCTGGAACAATTTGTCACATGATTCGTAATTTCATTACGTGCGGAGAGAATTTTGGGAGTTCATTTATTCATATGGTCCCAGTGACATGTTAACAACATTTGCCTCTTCATCAAATCTATCGTATGCAAACGTAACGCATATCTATCTCTTTGCATAAATTAGCTCCAATTTAGAACTGTGATGAAATGACGACATACCCTAACAATGGTCTCCGACAATGTCGATGCACCTGGGTCCAGGATCTGTCGTTGAGAGGTCTGCTTCGTTCAGTTCATGGTTCCAAGAGAGGAATTGAAAGTAATGTCAAAATTCGACCCGTGAATGGTCTGATTTATTACCATTGGCTACTACAATCCCTTGACTTTTATCGAAAAGAACACAGCCGAATGTCTAAATCAATTTGAATTCCACCCATAAATAAAACCCCGAAATACAATAATAAACAAGTTACAAATAAAGAATAGAAAACCACACCAAAAAGAGCCTTATTTCACATCCATTTAGTAACGGCACTAAGGTTGGCGGTTCTGTCATTTCTTGGCAATATCAGCCGTTCATCCGCTCACTTCTAAAACACCGCTCCACTCCCAATACTGTAAAAAATGGCAAGGGCAATTCCTGACTCATGTTACAATTATCCCTGATCTTCTAGTGTCATTTTTTTGTTAACCCACCAAGCTTCATTAAGTGCACCAATTTCAATACATTCCAGCTGAGATTGGTACTGAAATAAGTTGAGATATATCCAGTCGATACCAGAATCACATTGGCGTGATTGTTTGAGTATTGCTCCACTTGGGTCATGGATGCCTTCTCTAGGGCAAGTTGTGAAGGGTAAACCACATGATCTCCATGGTCTTAGTCGAACAATTGTTCACATTTTATATGTAGGTTCGTATTTATATTATCATAAGTAAGTCAATGTTCGTAAGTGAAGGGTCAACCTCGTGATTATCATGGTCTTCGTTGAACAATTGTTCACGTTATGTACGTTGGTTGTTACTCAATATACCAGAAACTGAGAAAACTCCTCCCCTTGAGTTAGGGGTCATCTTTAGATGGTATAAGAGCTAAAACAAACTGTGACATCTAAATAACGCTCGTTCCTAGAGTCATTCCCGGGGCTTGAGCTTTGACTTGAGTTAGGACTGTAGTTTGGGCTCTTAAATTGCTTGGTTTTAAGTGAATTTAGAGACAAGGAATGTGGATTAATTGGTCTAGGCAGCAAAAGTTCAAATAGGAGACTAAACTGTTCGTTATTTGGTTTCATCAGTTTAATTAGGTCTTTTAGTGTTTCGGGACATGGTTATTCTTGTGGGCTAGCGCGCTGTTCTTTAACGTCTGGCCACTGTTAATAGCTGTCTCTGATGACCCAGTTCTCGTATATTGTAATACTTACCTCCTTATATTTCGCATATTAATCTTTTAAAGTCCGTCCATCCTTGAATTGACTCGCGATTCCAATGCTTTTAATTCACTGACCCAAAGAAATTAAGTGACAGATTTCTCAGTGTGTAGAGATGATTTATAAAGGCCTCCCTTTTCAGCCTAGCACTCCTTGTCATAGCGGAAGCCGTGAACATCTGGTGTTTTTACGCTTTCCGTAAATAGCTTGGTCGTTATGTTGGTGCCACCTTATCAGACCAATAGCATCATCAAAATTCTTTGTTCTTGTCTCAAAGGCATGGCTAACCGACTCCTTGTTTATGTTCCCAGGTACAGTATGATATCAGCCTGCTTACACAGATGATCTTCAGACAGATAAAAGAACGCCTTGGTAGCCAATGACAAATTCTCCTTCTTATCTTGGACTGATTAACATGGTTGAACTGCGCAGTTTGGCAATCTTTTGCATATCTTTTAACCCAAGTCGCTTTTTCAGTTTCAAGTAGGATTTCTGTTTACCAAAAGACTATAGTATTCGATGGCCTTGCCATCCAGGCACCAACACAGCTGATCTTTGCACTCCAGTGTAGACTAGCCAATAATGTTTTTGTTTTTGAAAAACATGGCATAGAAAGCTTGCCAATTTGATTTACAGACGTATTTCAATGTTTCGACAAGGCAAACATATGTGACAAAGACAAACCAAACAGTGTTAACATATCCTCGAAGATTTCATTTATAATTGACAATGAACATCAACGTTCAACAAGTATAAAGGGACATGTTGGTCATACGTCAATAAGAAAGTGTTCTAACGACACAAAAATCAAAAAGACATCCTGGAGTCATTACTTATTATACTTTTACCCTATTGTAATTAGATAGCTTGGATTATATAGTTTAAATTATTACGTACGATGTACATTCAACTTTTAATTACGATTTGATTCTACCTGAAAACTAGAGGCTCTAAAGAGCCTGTGTCGCTCACCTTGGTCTATGTGCATATTAAACAAAGGACACAGATGGA